AGGAGGAGGATGAAGTTGGCGAACCTGATGAGGAGACCACGACGCCTACGGCGCGGGGCCCTCGAGCAGAACAGACGTCAGGAGAAACCGATGCCGGAGCTGGTGACATTGAGAATGAAGAGGAGGAAGAGGATATGGGGGGCCAACCTTCGGAGGCGAAGAAACGCCGAACTGAGGTGCGGGACATCCGTGATCGATTTGAGAAGCTGATTGCAGACGCATCGAGTGTTCAATATTGTTTCATTTGTGGTGGAATGCATGACATTGATGAATGTACCACACCAGATGACGAGAACATGAAGGACACCCTATGGCGCATGAGATTGATCATGGATCAGAAGTCCAAATCCCCATCATCATCGGAAAGATCCAAAGCTGCAACCAGAGGCAGAAAAGACAAGCTCCCAAAGAACGTCATGCCACGAGGAAAGCGTTGGGGAAGGACCAGATTCACTGAGAAAGAAGAAGTGACCAAGTGCTTCTACAGTCAGTCAGCCTTTATGTACGACATTGGTGATCGTGAAGAAGGAGGACAATACTTAGTGAATGGTGTCGAAGTCAACCCGATCAGCCGAGGTGTGAAGAATCGTCATGAGCTTGATATGCTGATCGAACGTGCGGCTGAGGAATCCCCGCCTGTTTTGCCGACCATTGAGGAGCTGAACGCTTGGAACCCCATTGATCATGATGAATATGTAAAATGGCTTACTGAAGAAAGAAAACAACATGGAAACAACTGGAACTTCAAGTACATCCAACCATTCACACATGGCCACAACATTGGTACACTTCAACTTGCTCGCATCAATGGAGAAGAATATCTTGGATTAGGATGGAGTAAGGTGCATCGATATGGCGAGAATGAGTGGATGGGCAACAAGTGGGAAAACCCGCAATGGATAGTCGAATTGTCGAAAAGATTCAATGCAGCGCTACGCCACTCCGTGGGTTGCGTCAAAGACAATCGAAATCACCGTGGACTACCATGCGATGAGGCAGGTTGGGTCAATGTTGAGTCGATCTTGAAGTACGACGCCATTTGGAGAGACCAACATACATTGGCTGGAACGACCCATGTCAACTACCCGATACTTGTTGAGAGGTGGAACAATTTCCAGAGAGTGATCTTCACTGAGTACAAGCAAACGAAAAGAATCCGAGCTCAAGTGCTAGGACTCAAAGTCACAAAAGCTGAGTTGGAATACATCATGGACAACTTCAATGATGGATTGACCTCGAGACTTGAACGACACACACTGAGGTTGGAGATCGGCACAGCAGATCGAGAGATTTGGCTTTGGCCGGTGGCAATCCGTGCCCCTATGGCACATTCAAGAGTTCAAGGCGGTGTGCACATCGAAGACAAGAAGACTTCCTATCAGATGAACCCTGGAGTCGGATACACTCTTGGAGGAGGATTTCACTGCACCACTTTTGACAACATCGCTCAAATCTTCAGAGAAGGACTACGTCCCGGAGGAGGAGGCGACCGCATCAATACGTTCTTCGTGCCATTCGCACCGTGGGACGTACGAAGTCAGACGGTGCTGAGATTCAGGAAGATTGAACAAACTGATCTTGTCTACATCTACATCACGTACGATTCCATCGCCAAGTTCTCCCCTCGATTATCAGCAGACGGACACATTTTGGTCCAAGAAACAATTCCATTCGAATCATTCGATGCTGTCTGGTATTACGATTGGAAGGAGAAGGACTACTACCGTCTCATGATCACAAAGGGAAGAGATCAACTTGTACTTTCCGTGCAAGGAGCAAGGAGGGTGGCCACCATTGAACGATTTGACAAACTCATTGGGAACATCGTGCCTGATGAATCATCACCCGATCTGAACGAACTTCGAAAGCTTGTCGATATCAAGACCGGTCACTTCAGTCATAACCACAGGTTGTTCCCTGGACATCCGGATTGGAATGATGCAATTTCATTGTTAGCAGTCACTCATCATCCCAGCAAGGAGGACCATCGACTATGCCCCGCATGTCTGATGGAGACCCCTGCACCACTATCGATTTGTGTGATGTGCAAAGGATTTTTGGTGAGTCATGGATGGAGGAAACGAATCAAGATCACCGTGGCTACAGTACCAAGTGCCGAATCGCATCATCGAGAAGAAGATCTCAAAGACCATGTCAAGAAAGCATGGGAGGAGGTGAAGATCGATTTGACAGGTGAAGGTGACGATGACGAGTTGATGCAAGATGATGATGACGTCACCATGAAGAGTCCAGAACAAGAAACTCAACCAGAAGAAGAAGATGATGACCAAGCCTCGAAGAAGGGCGACATCAATGATGAGAGAAGAGACTTCAGAGAACAAGATGAGGTCGACAAGTTTCTCAATCAGGAAGGAAAACCGACCGACGAGAATGACGATGAAGAGATAGCGGTCGATGAAATCAACATTGAGGAGTATGAGGCTGGAGAAGCTCGTGATGCAGTGATTGAGTACCCCAAGTGGATGAAGCGGATTGAGTTTGGATCAAAGGTCCTACCAATCGAGCCATGCACAATTGGAGATGCTCAGCCGGAGCTCATCAAAATCCTCCTGTTACAGATTGGATTACATATCGTCAGGATCTACAGACTATTCCAACGGAACTTCTGTGGAGACATCGAGACGGCATGGAAACACTTTCAACAGAACCAGAAATTCAGGATGGACCTGGACTCAAGAACGCCTTACCTAGGCGAGGATGAGAATGGTGAACTCATTGAACCAACTGCACAACAGATGAAAGAGCTCTACAAAGAGATCGGCCGACCAAATCAAAAGGACGACATCGGGGAAGAGGGATTCGTCAATGCATACTATGGGGCAGTGGTACTCAAGCGACTTCTCATATATACCCTTGAATGTGGATACACGTATGATGACTTGCAAAACATCTTCTATGACGAGGAGATGGAGAAGCTGTCGAAACGTGACACAACAATGGATGAGATGAGAAAGACCACGGCGGCCCGCGAAGCCCTTGACCGACAAGACGTCATGGTCAGAAGAATCATCGCAGGTGCATACAGGGTGAATGCCGTTTACTTCTTCAGGAACGTCGACTTTCAAGACACAATCACACTGAATCCAGTTGACATTGTGTGTGCTCTTCGTCCCCCACTTCGAAGAATATCACTTTTACACCTGATCCTTCAAAATGGCCGACAATTGCCACGACCTCTACTCCAGAAGCTGTATGATGCAATCGATGACTACAACCACATCAAGCAACGGGACGATCAACGACCAAGATGGGGCATCCACATGTCAGACGCTCACATACTTGCGATTGCTGATACCCCTGTTCCTGCCGATCGTGAACGTACTAACCCGGTCGCTGGCAAATCGAAAGCGGCCCCGAAGGCAGCACCAGCACTGGGCAGAGTGTCAAAAGCGAAGGCATCATCGTCAGCAACATGGAGAACCGTCGGAGCCGCTCCTCCGCCAAAACAAGCTCCAGTAACCCCGCCACAGAAGGGTGGAAAAGACCAAGGAAAAGGTGGAAGATCTTATTCACACCGTGGTGGAGACTGGAACCAACAGGGATACTATGGATGGGGATATAGATGATAAATCGATATGACCTCTGCATAGGTCCTGATTGAATCTGGCGAAGCGGGATGCAATCATTGCTCGAGATTTACCTCTACTTCATTTCGAATGATTTCTGAGAGGACTCTGAGCCGGCTAATTTAGAACCACATTTTTTTTTGAACATCATTGCACGAGACGCTGAGTTTCTACAGCGGTCTACATCTCAACCGACGAAAGAACGGGAAGGTAAACTTCTAGTTCCGTAGTCATTTCTGTATTGCGATTTTAATTCACATGCTTGAGTGGGATTCCATGCTGGCTACGCCACATCGGATGATCCTCAATGCTAGACACCGACTACGTCATGTCTGCATGCACGTGAACAGAACCTTTATCTTTTGGTAGAGATCGTAGCAAGCCGCCATGTAGATTTGAAGTTCTGAACGAACTTTAGCTCTCCATAATTCAATAAATGAACAGCTGCAAGTGTAGTGGATCAATTTAAGGGACACTCCTTTGCGCGTAGCCAACAAAGTTGGCTATGCGTGGGGGGCGCGAATAGAGTGTAGGCTACGTACCATTGTGCATTCACATACAATTCAACACTCTAGGATCCATTGCCAAGGGGGTATATAAAATCGCCCCTTTGGCTCAAGACCCACTGCAGTACCGGAAAAGAGTTAAGCCATGCGGAAGCCGCTGTTCGTGTGTCATCACCTTTGAAGACAACCACTTCAAGAACCAACATCAATACATAGTCGGGGAGATAACCTCCGATTCACAATCAACATTTATCAACATTTATCAACATTTATCAACATTTATCAGCATTTATCAACATTTATCAACATTTATCAACATTTATCAACATTTATCAACATTTATCAACATTTTTTATCAACATTTATCAACATTTATCAACATTTATCAACAGTTATCAACATTTATTAGCATTTATCAACATTTATCAACATTTATCAACATTTATCAACATGTATCAACATTTATCAACATTTATCAACATGTATCAACATGTATCAACATGTATCAACATTTATCAACATTTTCAACATGTATGAACATTTATCAACATTTATCAACATTTATCAACATTTATCAACATTTATCAAAATTTATGAACATTTATCAACATTTATCAACATTTATCAACATTTATCAACATTTATCAACATTTATCAACATTTATCAACATTTATCAACATTTATCAACATGTATCAACATTTATCAACATTTATCAACATTTATCAACATTTATCAACATTTATCAACATTTATCAACATTTATCAACATTTATCAGCATTTATCATCATTTATCAACATTTATCAACTATAAATCAACTATAATCATGGTTAAACATCATTTGAAAATGTGTTGGTGAAATGTCCTTTTTGATATTCCGGAGGCAAGCTCCAGATCTTGTGCCAGGTGATCCTGCGTGGCTTGCCCTTGGAAAGCCCTTCCTCGCGGCAACGACGTGAGTCGGAGGACGAAAAATGGGAAGATTGCCCAAACATTGGGGGATGATTGGAGGATGTGTAACCTAGAACTGGATGATCTTAGTTTTTTTTTGGGGGTGGAATACTGTAGAGTTTTTGAGGAAATCCTTGAACTTGGAATAGAAGAAACTTTTGTGCTATGGTCAAGTGGGTGAGTTGATTCCGTGGAGTTGTTGAGCCCTTTGCGATAGCCCCAACTAAAAGAATCAGTGAGAATGGCGGGAGAGCAATACCGTATAAAGGACATCTTGACCATCTCGCATGTGTTCTTTGTGGTAGTCGTTCCTGCAAGATTTCATCCCAGATTTTGACACCAACAGCAACACCAAAGGGACACAATTTTGGACGCCAGCAAAATTCCGCGAATGCCGTTGTAAAGGCTATCAACCATGACAAAGGCCACAATTCCCAGAGTGCAGAATGAAAGAAGACAAGGGATGAATGACTTAATGATCATAATATTGCCATGATGGATAATTAGTAATTATTGACAAATAGTGGTGATAAATAATAGTTAATATTAGTTAATTAACGACCAAAACCAAAAAAACTTCTGGATACTGATCTACAGCGACGTGAGGCCTCCCTGATGGGCGTCCTGGGCCTGTTGGAGGTGAAATCCTTCTGCTACGAAGCCGAGGAGGCGACACCGGAATGGGATGTGGTGGCTTCAGTAGAAATGGAAGATGATTCGGGATGATCCATGAAAACTCAAAGAAAGGGCATTTATTAAATCTATCTAATCTACTATCTACCTTACATAGCCAATAAAGATCAAAAAAGCGAAGAAAAATATTTAAGATTGGGATACGACTGATGAGGTTGGTTAGATCATGACCAAATGAGATGAATTGGGGATATTATGGATTAGCCTAGCCAATATAGGTAAGTGGGTAGATATCTGGCTGAAATGGTGGATCTCATTGAAGTAAACGTTGAATTTTGGCCAAACCATACTAGCTGGGCGGCTTCAACTAGTCTTTACGTTCCATCCCTAAAAATGGGATGATCCTCATTGAAGACCACCAAGATGCGCTGATCTCATCATTCTCATCCCGCCCACTTCTTGCTCCAAAAAGTGAGAGATTTTCTTCAGATTCCGCGCACCAAAAAGACCTGTTGGGTTGCCGGATGTTGACCCTGTCCAGGGCGACAGCATGGTGAAAGACCTCAAAGAGGTGCCAGCAGGGCAGTCTGGCGATAGGTTTGATGGATCCCATAGGCATGTCATGGGACATCTCTGCAACAGAATGGTTCTTCAATGTTCTTTATCTACATAACTTCAATCAACTGGCCTGGAAGTGTGACCATCAGGAATCAGGGTGCACAGATCTATTCAGCATATTGAGCTACATGAATTTACTGAAATCCACTCCCTGCTTGGTTTCAGCATGCCAACGAGCAGCTTTACATTGCGGAACGCATGGATTCAATGGATCAGGATCGTGGAAAAGTGATGTACAAATCCTGGTTGAACAAAAAATAACTGTCTGCCACAAGGGTTTGTCAGTTATGGTGGAAAGCATAGTGAGTGGCCCCACAAGTTACATTTGCACTCCCTGAAAATGTGGCAAACCCAAAGTGGCCCGTTTCCAATATGTTCAGTGTATGTCCACTGTATCTTCATCTTCCCAAGCCCATGTTTTGGGGAAAATCTTCCTCTCATCTCCAGGAGACGGGGTCCATCTGGCGTCGTCAGGGTCGGCACTTCCCCAGATACGATCCGCCCCGGCGGCTCTTCCGGTGGGGCTTCCCGACATGGCCTGTGGCAGCTAAGTAGAAGCGAACTTGGTCGGGAGGGTATCATTCTAGACCATTACAAAGATCATCAAAGATCTAGAATGATCTAGAATGATCTAGAATGATCTAGATATGTAATGGCTTTCCAAGGAACCTGAGAAGACTCTAAGACTCTGAGACCCAAAACGATGGCTTACATCCCTCCACAGATCGGAGATGGGATGTCTCTGCATCGAGCCCAGGCCTGAAAAGTCGGTGCCAGAGTTTGTGGCTGCCATGTGCACAGAGGGTGATGAAGTGCAGGGCAGCATCGTCGATTTCAGGCAGCCACTGGTAGCCAATCTGGTGGAGATCGGAATCCCCAGTTGAATCAAGTTGAATCAAGTTGAATCAAGTTGAATCAAGTTGAATCCCCGGAATTCGTCAATCACCAAGTCACCAAGTCATTACCAGTTAAGTATCTTTAAGTCACCAAAGCCCTTAAGTTGGCTCCTGAATTTGATTATGATTGTACCCTTACCCCTGTCATTACAAACGCAACCAAATATCTCCACTAGATTCCATATTCAGTAGATATTCAGAGTAGATATTCAGAGTAGATATATTTGATGTTTATTTCATGATATATCTACACATAGTCTACACATATTGGTGAATTAATTGGTCAGGAAGCTCCGAGCTGTGGCGGATCCCGAGGCGTGGCATGGATACCCATGGATACCCCGAAAGAGGAAACCTCCAGATGTTCTGTTTTGTGCCCCAAATCACTGGGATAATCACTGGGATAATCACTGGGATTATGGCTGAAATGCCCGTGACATGGGATTAAATACTCCGTTTTCACTGCGAGCAGTCCCCCCCCACCTTTCCTAGATGGTCTCTTTTCTGACCTAGGCAGTAGGATTTCAACATGTCCAGTCCAGCTTGTGGCATGTCAAGACGCTGCTGGTATTCGAAGTTAGTATTTTTCAGAGCGATTCGTACCTTGCATAAACTGTAACTATTCACGAGAAGACAAAATGAACATCCCTACTGTGATGAAATTAGTGAATCTATGTGAATCTTCTCCCATGCAGATGTGGCAAAGAGTAACACCATGTAACTTGACCCCGGCTGCCGATAGGATCTGAAGATTTTACAGCAAGAGCCTTTAGCCTTCTTCGACAACGAGAGACTTGGATCCGTTGTGGATTGCGCTCACCTGGCAATGGGATCAATGGGGATCCATAGTTTGGTAAGTCTGGTCATTGGGGACAGAGAGCACCTAAGTCCAGATGGCAACGGAACTGCTTCAGAACCAGGGATTTCTGCTTTTGGTTTGAGTTTCACCAGTTTCACCCTCGAAGTGACAGGGTGAAAGGGCCATGAGGTTGTACCCATGGATCAACATCTGAGAGCCGGCACAGCGATTCAAGTTCACCCTGCCAGATTTGTTGGTCTCATCACATTGGTATAGAGCATAGGCTGTCAAAGTTTAAAAAAAAAAACTGCTCCAAAATTGCAATCATGTGCCTTTTTTATCCTTTTTTCCCGCCCATATCTTGATCCAAGCTGATTTTCAGGGGTCCAGTTTTCCAGCCAGTCTGGTTTCAGGACAGGCATGCGTTCAGAGCGTGTCCTGGTGGCGGGAGAGATGGAGGAGGACGGCAGTGTGCTCTTGGCTGCACTTGTGGATGAGAAATCGGCCGACCCACATGGTCCATTAGTTCCATGTTAGTTCCATGTTAGTTCCATGTTAGTTCCATGTTAGTTCCAGTTCCATGTTGGTTCCATGGCGAGATGGGCGTGAGTAAAGGGAATTGCCAAGGCGTAAGAGGCAAGTGTTAGTTCAATGAAACATCAAATGGCCCCTTTTACGGTGGAATATGGCAACCCCTGTGGCTGCGCAGCTGGCTTATATACACATGGATGCGACAGATACGATGATACATCCACCAACCTCACGCCCATGCATGTCTTACTGCCGAATGCAGGATACACACAGACAAGAGAAATCTCAAGATGAGCGCTCAGAAACTCCAAAAGCCCAAACCCACCGATTCCATCTCAAAAATGGCTGGACATATCAAATCATATCAACCCTAGTTGCTACATGTATTTCAATCCATTTCAATCCATTTCAATCAGCCAACACCTTTCTCTCAGCCCGTGGTCACCGGGGCACATGAGCGCGCCGCGCGGGCGCGCCCATGGGTGGTGGTGCCAGCAGCGTCCCGAAGACCCAGATGGATTGGATGTCCCACGAAATGGATGGCCTTTGACAAAAAAACGTTTTTTTTGACAAAACATACCCGGATTGACAAAAACTGCATGCTTTGTTGCACCCGCTTAGATTAGCATGTTTTTTTGACTTAGGTTTACGCCGTGTACCACTGAAAGTTGACTTTTAGCAGGTGATCAACAAAGCACCGAGAAAATGAAGATCTGCGTATCTGACAGTTGTGGGTGAAGAGTTGGGTTTCTGTTCTGCGTATCTGTTAATGCCAATAAGGGTTAAAATAAAATTGAAGCACCACAGATGAGGTTGTGATCAAGAGGGAATAGAGCTGCAGGCACAAACTACAAGAACAGGGTGTAACCGACGAAATGGAGATCCAACTTGATCCAATCTACTAAATATTCATTTCAGTTGTTTTTAAAAATATGGCCTGTTCCATGAATGGTAGAACTGAACAAGATCCATGGTGAATGGGTTGATTTTGGCACTCTCATTAACGCAGTGACCAGGCCGGCGGAGCCACCGCGGAAGAGACCCAGCGCCTCAAGGAGCAGGTGGGGGGAGAGATGCACAGATCTGGGGACAGAACGAAAAAAAAGGGCTGGACCGGGAAGATGGATATCATGGATATCATGGATTCAGATCATCTCAGATTCAGATTTTCAACTTCAAATGATCATTCATCCCATGACCAAAAGAAATTCAGCTGATTTCTGGAATTGGGATCAAAACAGCCTGGTGAACTGCAAACTACCAGGCTACTGGAAGTTCTGGAAGTTCTTTCCATCCCGCTTGGAATGATTGGTGAGCGGGAAATCAAGCATGCGCACATGATTTAGGGATTTGATCTATGACCTGCAGTCCCAAAAATGAAAAGGACAATCACAATTGAAAAAGAGTATTGACACCCCATTTCCATGAAGTTTCTAGAGAGCTCTGCCATAAGCTTGGCTGCTTCGGCAATTACATCCCCAGCATCGCCACGTTGCAGATCGATGCTGCAGAGAAGAGAGCGGCGAAAGCTGAACAGGAATACAAGGCGATGGAAACGATGGAAACGATGGAAACGATGGAAACGATGGAAACGACCAAAACGGCTCAGTGGTTTCACCATGTTTTACCATGTTTTACCATGTTTTCAACGTTGAAACGACTATGTCGGTACAGTTTCAAGTAGTTCAAGTCGTGTCAAGACATGCAAAGACAGACTATGAGACTACGGCTCAAAATAGTAAAAGTATGTAAAAGTACACAAAGGTTCCCTAGAATCCTCCCGTTCCTGTTTTTACAAAACGGGATGATTCCTTGGTGGACCGTGTAGCCCAATGAGCCAGGATGCTGTGGCCAAACACTCGGAGGTGGAGAAGCAGAACAAGGTGGGCCGTGGGGCCGTGGGATGTGCTGGGAATGAGATGAGAAAACATGGCAGGATTTTGTCCCATTTGGGGAATATCAACCTGTCCCATTTGGGTGAAGATAAGGAACAAACCTGGGCAGTTTAGAGGCCAGGATGCTTCCCACTTCGCCGAAACAATGCCAAGATTTGCTTGGGATTGCCCCTGTCTGACAAGTCAAAGTTGTGAATTCCTGTCCGAATACTACAGGTGAATCGCCCAAGCAGGAACTGGAGTTCCAAGTTTCACCAGCCGATCAGGATTTGCGTTTCAATCCCTGATGAACGGAATACATTGTGCTTCTACTCTCATTAGCTGCTTTTGCATGACATCTTGACAACTAGTGAATGCATAGGGAAGCCAACTTTGACGACTATCTTCAATTTGGATGTCATCCTTTGGAGGTCATACGCCATGGAACTTCCTACCCATCCGTGTCAGGAGTTAACCGAGTTGGCCGCCAACTTTGGTGCCAGGACACGGGAACATCCGGGCACAGGTCCCAGAGATGGCCAGAGCTTCTATTGGTTTCAGCAATCTGAACTTGCAACTGTGAACCCCCACAAGAATCCTAAGAACAGCTATATGTTTAAAAATTCTTTAAATTAGCCCAATCAGAGGCATTTCACCAGGTGAACAAAGCATTTGAGCAGCGGGACTTCACTGAATTGTCGGTCGCTCCAGTAATGAACGGGCCAAAGCCTTGGCCCAAGCAGAGCTGGTGAACATGGCCAAGGCTCTGCGGTGAAACCAGTGGGAAGCACGTGGAAATCAAGTTTTTTTTCGGCAGAGTTTGTCACCATTTGTTTCATCGACCGGTGATTAAATATTTGCGCCGGCTGTAGTTGGTTAATTCAGTTACATTACATTACATTACATTACATTTCATTACATTACATTACATACATACATGTACTGTAGTTAATTCAATATTGGACTTTTGTGGATACCCCTTTATCCCAAGAGCCTTGCGAAGAACACTGCCAGGTTTGGCGTGCTCAACGTGCCGTCGACGAGTGCAAGGGCAAGAAACAGGCGTGGTGACTGACAGCGGTTGGAGTTCCAAAGCATGTACGAAAACGATCGAAAACGAGTATGCAATGCGAATAACTGGGAGTGTAAATCTAAACTTTCACTACCTGAGGCTGTGTGGCATGATATGTTTTATCACCGAAAAGACACCCAGGAAATCAATGGAAATCATGCTCAGAGTGTTGGAATTCGTTGGACACATCTCTATTCCATCCATGCTTCAATGAGCTTAACACGTGAGGTGTCCCAAGATCGCCTGGAGTTCTGGCAAGATGCCCTGAACATTGCCGTGAACAAGCGGAAGGAGACAAGATCCTATGGATTTCCGTTTTTCGGAGCGACACCCATGGTGATCAGTGTGTCTTCCATTTTGGAACGAATAGAAGACCATTTTGATCGCTGAAAAGCCAGTCAGCTTCTGGTCCCCATTGATGAATTTCACCCTGGCTGTGAGGACATGGAGTTCAGTCGTTCGGATGCAAATAGAAACTCTGTGGCAGCTTCGCAGGAGTGATTGGCTGGTGACTTGTTCATCCCAGGAACCGAATTTTCATCTCTACTTTTACCAGGTTTACCATTTTTTCCCAGTTTGGGTGGAGAGGGATGCCGGGATGCCCAATGACTCCTGAACTAATTGGGACCCACGTGGCCATCGTTTGATGTCCAGCGAATCCTGGGGCACCATTTTCATGGTTGCTGTCATTCATTGCGGTCCCTGTTTTTTTCACCTTCCCATTTTGTTGGGGGTTCCAAGCACTGATTGGCTGACTTGCCGTTCACTTGTCTAAATCCAAATGTGGTGCAACCATCAAAGTACACTTGACTTCAAAGATGTCATATCTCCAAATCTCTTGGTGAAAAGTGGTGGTTGCATGTTGTTATCCCCAAGAATAACTTCATATTTATTACATTTCATTACTACATGGTGAATATTGCCCCATATGATTGCCACTAGATGTGTGTATATATATATAAAGATGTACATCATACAATATCATATCACATAATATCATATGAATTTAGCATGATGATATGCTTAAACATCATATGTTCATATTTGTTTGAATCCCTGGTGCCACTTCCCTGCCAGGAGGCTCAGGACTCCTCCCGGGCAGCTGAAGCAGCCAAGACGCAGCTACAGGAAGCCGAGGCGACCTGCGGAAATGGATCCATGTGATTTTCTTCTGGGGAAACAAGACATCCTGGAGAAATCCCGGCAGATCTGATGTGTGTGTATATATCATGTTTCAAACAATTTGATTTGTTGTTTTGTTGGATTCTCAAGAAGGTTCTTCTGCAACTGCGGTGAAATTGGCAAATTGAGAAGCCAGGCTGCAGCGGCAGAGGCACTGCGAGTGGCAGAGGAGTGTCGCAGAAAGGAGAAGGAGGTGGGGATGGGCAGAATGGAAGATGTCATCAGATGTCATCAGAATGTGGTGATTTGGACAACCCAAATTTGGGATCAATCCAATCAAAACAAGCACAGGAGGTAGCCAAAGAATTGGCGTTTGCAAGCCAAACTACCAATATAACCACGCAAACAAATACATATATATATATATCTAGCTCACTGAAAAAGAACCCAAATTGGTTCACTAAACTGGAGACCACTAGTTTTTCGATTTCCGTCATCCGTTACAATTTTCAGATCTTGGGGAAGTTTCGATTTCTGCTTCTTTCGGATTCCGTCCAGGTCTTCATGGCATCCTTCCAGTGCGACTCCTTCCTGGCGGCCGCCGAGACGGCCATCGAAGCCTCCTCGCACGCGGAGCAAGACGCCCAGGACCTGGAAGACCTGGAAGACCTGGAAGACCTGGAAGATTCAGAGTCACAGTATGTCACGGATATGTAACCACTAGACATAATAAGACTAACAATTATACAATGATACAATGATATGATGATATGATGATAAGAAATGGTGAACAATAATTCTCATTGTCATTTGAATGGTTGTGATATGTTGTGATGATATCGATGATATCAGCCATGATAGTAATGACAATGATGACAATGATGATGATTCCATATGATTCCTATTGATATGATGTTTATAATAAAATGGTATGTTAATCGTCATCATGCACCATGCACCAGCCATTTGCGCAGGAGCTGATCGCCAAGCGAGAGGCGCGGCCAGCGCGGCCAACAATCGGGGGGAGCTGTCAGGAATGATCCACTGGTGGACTGACAGCTGTCTGGGATGACTGGGATGACTCTGAACCCTTCTGGACCCTGAAACCGGTGGCCATTTTGAGTGAACCATCCAAGTTTCAGCAGTCATCAGCTCATGATAGAACTGGGTTGTATAGCTAGTGTTATCTGGGTGGTAAAGCCAAATTTTCAACCAGAGACGGTTGTCATATTTGTTCCAGCCTACAGCCTACATGTATGATGTTTTTTTGAAAAACTGCAATTCACACTCGAGGTTTGCTGGCATCCCCTGACCTCAGGGATGTTCACTCCGAAAACTCCAGCGTTTTGTTGTACAAAGGGAAATTCTGCCGAACAATCTTGAAAAGATCTAATTACGACCTAGGAGATTAATGTAGTTAATTCACACAAGGGGGTTCAGCTGCCCTTTTTGGGCCCATCTTTGGCTGTGACTGCACACCATCCATCACCATCCTAGCACCGATAGAATATACATTGACATTGAATTACCTCATGTTGTTGCTAAATCCAACCCGTGGTTAGTTCTTTGCGAAGCCCATGACATCATGATTCGATTGTCACCCTGCCAGGCGGAGCTGCAAAGCTTGCAGGAGGCGATTCAAAAAGCCAACGAGCGACTGCAGCAGGTGCAAAGCCACAAACACGAGAAGTTGCAGGCACGGCATGGCACGACATGGCACGACATGGCACGTTGTATGAGATGTTGGCAGTTCATGGGTAAAACGGCTCCTAGATGGAAGTTGGAGAATCACGGAGACTGAACATCGCACTCACGGAGTTTGTCTAGGCGCATCCGGCCCCAGAATTCACCGTTCCAAGTGTCAGGAGAAGGAGCGGTTGAAAGGCGATAAGGACGCGAAGCAGGTGGGAAAGAAGCGACATGACATGATGTTTCCAAGGGCCCTAAGCATGTGACGAAAGTAGTTGTTTGTTTCCAATATTGTGGATGTGGCCAACCGAATCCTCCGCGGTCTGTAGAGGAAAAGGATCGACCTGCAGACTTTGGGATGTATTTTTCTGGGGAATCTTTGAGTTGTAGACAACAAGAACTTCCACCATTTTCAGGGTTCAGCACTTCTGAGCAATCAACCACCTTTTTTCCTGCAGTCTGAAAATGGGAAAAAATAACATGATAACATCCCACAACATTGAGATTTTATTTATGGGGAAAATGATGATGCAGGCATATATCTGAACATGTTTAATACTTAGATGCCATATTCTAAACACATATGCCATATTCTCATCAATCTGTCATCAATTTGTTGGTCGCTGAGACGATGCTTGGATCCGCTTCCAACTCTGTGCTCAGGCAGAGCTGCAAGAAGCCGAAGCCGAGCGAAAGAGAGCGGAGGAGCTGAAAAGGGAAGGATCTGCTATGACGGCGTGGTGGGTTTGTTTTTGGTGTATCACATAAATAAACAAATATATATTATATAATCATTATTTTTATCATCATGTTTACTATTACTGCTAGCATTATTACTTGTTTATATGTGTATGTATGTATATATATGACGATAGCGGGGGAGCCCCACCTGGGGCCCTCAGTGCGGTTCTTTTGCTCTGCCAGCGGGCGCTTCGGCCAAAAGGTCCGCTATGGATGAACAACCCTTGCAAGAACCCTGGAATTCACACTCCTCTTTAAATCTTTATATAAAAGTGGCTGAAAAGCACCTAGCCGAGATGCCAGCCTTTCTTTGAAGATCCTCACTTAACGCGACGAATCTCAGAAGTACCAGGAAAATAGACCCTGGGAGACGCCTTCATGGCATCATCAGTCAAAAGGAAACGCTTAAAATCTTTGGTCCGGGCTGAGTTTCCATTGAACCCCTTCACCCAGCCTAGATACTTGGCAAGCTCACGATCTCCTGCATCAGCACGATTCACCAGCTCACGGTATGACATCTCCAGGTCCTTAACTTTGGGCAGGTCACAAATGGTCCTTCCCCATTCCTCAAAAGTGGAGACTCCTTCGGGCAACTCCGAGTTGATTGGAGCCGCAAGCTTGCGGATCGGTGAGGCCATGCTCTTGGGCATCACTGGCATGGAGTGCTGAGCCACACCTGCCGACATAGATTCTTCGGTAAACTCTTCTGGATCCTGAAGAAACTCAAACTCATGCGAAGCAGATTCATCTGGACAGCGACGCTTGGAGGCATCTGACATCGCTCCCGATGCTGCACAGCCAGTTGATTCACGGCTGATCACATTCAAAAGATCTTCCAGCATTCCAGATTGCTTCAAGTCTCGAAGAAACATCAAGCCCTGATCGCGCTTGACGTCAGCAGCGGTGTTCTTTGACAGCGACATCTCTTGACCACGGTTGAGATTCGAAAAATAAACACACGAAAAACTCGAAATAAAATCAGGAACCTTGAGTGTGAAAACTTGCTGAGTCATTCAACCAGTGTGGACACACCACGGCGGACAACACTGGATTGTGCTCGGCACCTAGAACAAGACAAGAGTTAAGCCCACCTAGCTCTTATCACACTATGGTTATCCCATTTAACTATAGTGATCCCACTGTCTTATTGAAGATGTTTACTTTATTTGGTTTTGCAAAGCGGAGTGGCACTGCGCATCTTGCGTTCTTCTCGTTGTTGCTTTTTCAACCGCAGGATTGATGCTTCACAGTTCAACTGATATTCACCAATGTCCAGCGCAGCTCTGAGCAGATCGGCAGGATCCATTTGATCCTTAGTAAGTCCATCAGCTATCATGAGTTCTGTCGGGCACCATCTCACTGACAGACCAGTGCGAGCCATGCATTGTTTCAGAATGGCCAAATCAATAGCAACACGTTTGTCTTCAACCTTTGAAGCACTTGACATTGATGTCAAATGGTCAAAAAGTGACTTGCAATCGGTGATTCCTACCACTGATTTGGTCTCTGGTTTCAGATTGGAGACGATCGGCGTCTTAGGCATGGCTGACACGGTTCTAAGATCGAAAGATCCTATCCTAGCTTCAGTCACCATCAAAGCCATCCATTCTGCGATGGCGCATGCAGTTGAGAAGCTCTGGGCTTCGGCTCCCAGCGTCGAAGACACTACCCGGGGAAGCTTATAGGATTTCCAACAGAAAGGGGTCCATTGACTTGGTTCATTGCGTTCGAGGTGATTATCAACAAAACCAAGGATATATCCAGCTTGTGTTGAATTTCCTTTGGCATTGGCAAACCCCGCATCTGAGTGAAAACATATGGCAAGTTTTTCCCATGGGATATGTCTCACATGTATGGTGACATCACTGTACTGCTTGGCACGGTGGACCAACTGGTTGGCAAACTGAAGGTCTTTTACTTTGGGTCGCGGAAAACACTGCTGACTGAGAGAAGTTTGAACACATAGATCTGGGCGTGTTTGGCCTGCTAACCAGTTTGCTGCACCATTGATTGCTCGCAAGGCTGCTACTTCTTTTTCTGAAGCAAAAGCCTCTTTGTCACGGGCCCGTTCTCGGCTCATGTTGATTGGTCTAAGGTGGCGGGCATACTCTGACTGCTGATAGCTGATTTCACAGCTCTGAGGATTCTGAGCGTAGTGGACACCGCAAAATTCTCCACTGCCGACCCTCCACTTCCTGTATGGAAACCTGGCACGCAGTTGTTTCACGGCATTCTCGTAAACGGGACCACTACCTCCAATCATGGTGTCATCAACATGTGCTCCCATTATGGCAACCAAGTTTTGCTGTTCATCTCGAAGGAAGTAAAGGCAATTGTCAAACTGGCTACGCTCAAAACCGATTTCACACACTGCTTGGTCAAAGGTATGATACCAGTTCAAGGGGGCATCGTTAGCACCATAGACGTTTCCTAAGACCTCAATCACAGCAGTCGGATCTACGCCTGGGATTCCCCCAGCTGGCTGTCTAGCATACAGGGGCTTGAACTTGGCGTCCAATGGACCAGCTTCCAAAAACGCACCTTTGACATCTCCCAAACACAGCGTCCACTTTTTGGACACCAGAACCTGCAGGATCAGTGCCCGGGCCAGCTGACTCAAAGTAGGGCTGTGGCACAAGCCGCTCGTGATCTTCTCTCGGAAATCAGGATCAAGATGGCCTTGCAAACACCATCTGGCCTTGATTCTGGTTGATTGATCTTCCGACTTCTCAACAATCACGAACCGACTGCCAACAAAACGGTTGGGATGTTTGTTCAAAATTTGTTGCGCCTTGGCTCCAGTCCAGACTCTCACTGCTCGCTTTTCGGAGAGAGTCTGCCACTCGGCACGTTTGGCCTCATCTACTCTAGACTGCAGTGCTGGGTCATTGCCACTTGGAGGTATTTCTTTCTGCATCCGTTTTTGCAGAAAGGCAGACATGAGAACTTACGAGGGGATCTCATTGCACGGCACGCAGGAAAGGACATCATGACAAAACAGCGCTTCGGTTTCGGAATTCCTAGGACGACTGTTTTCATGACCGACAGCTGCGACACTTGCTTCACGTTTGCAACTGGTACCCCTTGGGCTATTCATGGTCTCATCACTAACCCCTTGGTTACTGGCTTCCTTGGTTAGATCCTCTATGGCTATCTCGGTTAACAGCTCTGACAAGTTTTCATGACGCATTTCAGGTGGTCTGTACACTACATTATCTGGCTGTTTACCTGTGCATCTTCTTCTCACTGGGCCATAAGAACTAGAGGAAGCTATCTCTGGTCCTTCTGCATGAGTTCCTCCCGGCATGGCATCAGCAGCCCTGTTGGCTGATGGGAGAGCCTGTTCTGGCTCTTGGACTTCACGAGACTGATGGAACAACTCGGCAACAGATCGTGCTCCTTCCGGTGCACTGGGTGATGGCAAGGCTTCAGGCTGAGGAGGAAGTTCTTCAGCAACAACGTCAGTGAATTGACTTTTGGGAAACTGTCCGCGCTCAAGGAGGTTTCTGATTCCTAGCAACTCATTGTCAGGAAACTCTGCAACAGTTCGTTCCTCAAATGAAGCATGCCTCAGTTGTTCAGGAGCGCATCTCAGTAGTTGACGCCGGTGAGCAACGATGAGATTCCGGCCAATTCTGCCTAACACCATTGCCGCTCCATGCCATTTGCCACCACGTTCCAAAACACCTGACTGCCATTTTTGAGATCTCCAGTAAAACACCCAGTCCCCTGATTGAAAATCAACCTGAGTTCGGGGTCTTGCTTTCAGGGCAGCACGGAGGGCTTGGTCGTCTTGGCATGACAGCACAGCTTTGCGTGCTGCTTGTCGGATGGCATGCGTCTGGCCAAAATGGTCATCTGTCTCGACTGCATCCGAGGCTGCAACATGAGGTTCTTCTTGCAACAAGTCTTGAGGAATCCTAGGATTTCTACCAAACACAAGCTGACAAGGACTGGCGCCTGACTGCGAGATCAAGCTATTCTTGGCCATTTGGGTTTGTGCAACACAGTCAGCAAACTGTTCAGCATTGGTTGGATGAACCTCTGAGCAAACTCGATCAAAAATACGAGAAAACCATTGGCCATGGCGTTCGACTTTCCCCAATTGCCAGTGCGCATCTGCAGCAATTTGGTGCATGGTGATTCCAGAGTTTTCACAAAAATCACTCATGGCTTCGCTGATGTTTGGCTTGGCTGGATCTGTGGTTAAATGAACTGGGGGTCCAGCCCACGACATCCATTGATCACGCAGGGTCTTTTTCAACACTTCAGCACTTTCTTTGACGTAGATTGGCACCATTACCTGCATTGATGTTCCATAATCAACAATATTGACGCATGGGACTCTCTGGTTTGTACGCCAACCCTGAAGATATTTAACATCCATTCCTATGTGGTGATTAAATTGAAAGGAATGTGGAACATTTGCTGGAAGGGCACTTTTCGGCTGCTGGTGATTCTGGCATACGGTGCACTGCAATTGGCCAGCCAACTGGATGGCACGATCGGATGCTCGACTGTGTCGAAGGATCCTACACATGTCCTGAGTAGAAGGGTGACCTAGGTTTCGGTGCAGCTTTGCCAGTGTGGCTTTGATTTTGGCATCATCTTCACTATTGGATTCTTGGGCAAGTGATCCTTCGGCATGATCAGGAGCACGGCCGCTCGGATCATCTGCATCCACTGCAAGGCATTCCATGTGGCATTCATGCAAATTGACAGCTGTGGCATGGTGGTCATGTTGTCCTACCCTAAAGGCTCGGAGCATGGTCTTTACAAACTTTGGAGTATATGTAGCAACAAAACTACTAACCCGTTGACCTCCACGCAGCTGACCCTCAATGGGACGGTGCTCGTGATTCTTGGGACACCTGCACATATGTTCCAGACGGTCTGGAACCTGTCGGTTGGACACCATAAGGCCAGTTCCTTTTTGGAAAAACAAACCTGTGTCAGGGCACTTCAAATCAAAAGCACACATGTCAATCCTAAAAACTCCATATCTACGCTTGAGGGACTGAAGTTCAGGGGCGTTCCAAATTTGAGATGGCCATGGATGTTCTAACAAGAAATCACCACCTCTTTGCAGCTGTCGATGAATCTGGCGGACACAGAAACGCAATCTGGCACGGTTCCTGCGGATCAGTTGGGCACGTTCCAATGGTGTCCTGTAGTATTGGTTGAGATTCTCCCAACCACCGGAATGCGTGCAGGTCGGACATACTATCAACAGTTCTGGCTTCGCACGATCTAACAGTTTTTCAACCTGATCTTGAGTTCTTGGGTTCAGTAAATCCCTTCCCTGTTTGATATCAAAGGCCAACCCTTTCCCCCCATGTTTCTCAACTTCCGGCGTAAAACGAGGAGGTGAAAACAATTCAGCAACCTGAAACTTGGAATCCTTTCGATAGTCAGCGTTTTCTAATTGGGCTACTAGACAACGACATTCTTTCTTCTTGAGAGTCACTTTCTTCTTACTCTTGGCTCTTTCATCGGTCCCTGCCTTCGGCACCTGGTCATTGGCTCCGATGGATGGCATCGATGAAGGCGGTTCGGTCTGGGCTGACTTGGGCTGAAACTGCATCAAATCCACCAGGAGTTGTCCAGCATTGTTGGTGACCATGGCTGTCTCAATGGCAGGCTGCAGCATCTTCATGGTTTGTTTCTCAAAGTTCAAGCAAACATTCAGTTTCTCCAGTGTTGGACGACCCAGAAGGAGAGGAGCTTGCCCTGAAATCACTGCTGCATCAATGATTCCAACTTTGCCCTGAATAGCCACTGGGATCTTGGCTACTTTCTCCGACAGTTCCTCCTGGCCATTCCCAAAACGAAAACGGTTCTTTTCAGAGTGTTCAACAGCTGAGGCACGTCCATGTTTGTTCATGAGGCTGTTGAATGTCTGTAGCGTGTCAGATCCTATGAGAGTTCGACCACATCCAGTGTCAATTACCCCCCATCCAGGTGATGAAATAAGGCCAGCGGAAAACACATTCCAGGAAGTTTCGATTTGTGCTGCACCCACAAAGGTGATCTCGTCATCCACGACTTCCAACTGAGCTAAATCGGCTGAGGCAGGAGGAGGACCAGCGGCAGAACTTGCGGCCGCTCCATCACGATTTGACACTGCTGCACTTCGACACTCTCTGGACCAATGTCCAATCTTTCCACACTTTCGGCAACGAGTGCGCTTCTTGAGCTCTTCTATCTCAACACGGAAAGTCTTCCGTGACTGGGCACTTGATGCTGAGGACCCGAATCGTCGGGACTGTTGCACTTGTTGAATCTCCTTTCTCCGATCCTTCCAAGCTACAGCTAGGGCTTCAGCAGTTTCCTCTTCTGACAGTTCTTCAGACATCTTTTCACCTGAAAAGTCGGCCAGGAACGCCTCCACGTCAGCAAAGGAATCTTCTTCTGCAGCTATGAGAGGTGATGACTGCGAGCCAACACCATCAGCATCAGGATCAACCATCAAGGCACCGATGGGCTTTCGGGCTTTAGAACCAGAGGCTTTGAACGCAGGAAAACATGAACGAAAAGCAGCTGCTATGTCATCGTAATCCAAACTTCCCTGAGTCTTGGCTTTGATGATCGCTTTCTCTTGTTCTGTCAATTTTGCACAATTCAGAGTGATCCATCCTCTGGCAGCTTTGGGGAAATCCGTTTCAGCTTTTCTTCGGCAACGTTCAAAGGTCTCTTTAACACGTGCCGTCCACTGTTTACTACTCTCGCCTTCTGAGGCCACCAGCGAGAAAACTTCTCCCAAGGCTTCACCCATCTGATCATGCTTCTCTTTCTCCGGGAAGCGATTGTGCAAGGCTTCCCAAATCTTCTTGTCACCGTCCTCAACGGCAATCTCATCAAGAGACAGATGTTCCACAGTCTCGTAGGCAGCTCCATCTAGCAAGGTGAACAGCCAAGGACCTCGTTGATTTGACTTCAGGTCCTTCATGGTCATGCATTTGGCCAATGCCCAGGCCTTCCATCGTTTCAAATCCTTTCCAGGATCATCCGCTTCACCATTGAAGCGCTTCAGACCTTTGTCATCGCTCATCCATGCGGGCCCCAGGCAGGGCTCCGCTACCAATGACGATAGCGGGGGAGCCCCACCTGGGGCCCTCAGTGCGGTTCTTTTGCTCTGCCAGCGGGCGCTTCGGCCAAAAGGTCCGCTATGGATGAACAACCCTTGCAAGAACCCTGGAATTCACATATATATAAATTAGATACATGTATATGCGTACATACATACATACATACATACATCCATGCATGCATACATACATCCATCCATGCATGCATGCATGCATGCGTGCATGCATGCATGCATACAGATAGGCAGGCAGGCATGCATGCATGCATGCATGCATACATGCATACATGCATACATCCATCCATCCATCCATCCATCCATGCATGCATGCATGCATGCATGCATACAAAATTTACATATATATATATATAAATATATATATATACACACATAGATTTTTGCCGCATAAACAGTTTTCATCATGTCACGGCACAGGAACAGCTGCAGGAAGCGGATCAGGCGGTGGAAAACGCCAAGAAGATGCTGCTGGAGGCGGAAGCTGCTGCAGCTCCTGGGATGCTGGGTTGGCTATGGTGATGGCTAAAAGAAAAGATGTGAAAAGATGAGATGAATCTTATTTTTTTGTGATGATGTGAGCTACCAACTAGGGGCATTTTGTTTTGTTTAAAACAAGAACAAGGATGCGAAAGGATGTTGCCATAGTTCCAGAACTTTCTTGAGGACTGGACAGTGACTCAGACTTCTGCATTCTGCTCTGGAACCATATACTCTGCATCTTCCCTTGACGTTTGGGTCCTTTGCTGGAACCACATTGTTTCTTGGGTGTCCTGCCAGAATGGAAAGAGTTGAATCTTTGAAATTATTTGGAACATGTCCCATAAACCAATTCTCCAGCTTCGACTGCAGTTAATTGGCTCAACAAAAAAACGAGATTGCGCATCGATTCATCGATTGTGCAGATTGTCTAGACGCCAAGATGATGGGACAAAGCCGCCTCTTGGTTCTCGTTTTTGCCTGTGGCATCACCTCAGCAACTGCTTCTGCCAAGCGTGGAATTGCGAAGGACCGGAATTGTTTTTGTTCTTGAACTGTAGGAGATTTCTAGAGAATCTAATCCCTATCTTTGCTGGACACATTCCATATTTTCATATATGTGTCCCCATTTTCGGATCAGTTCAGTTCATGATTGGGACATGCTTCAAATCATCTGAAGTTGAGACAAAAGTTCCAGAGTTCAGCTGAAGTTGGCCTCGGATCAAGAGCTCTCTGAAATCTGCCCAAGATTGCCCTTGGGCAGTGCCCAAGTACCAAAACACAGATTTTCCCACCAGGTTTCAGCCGACTTTCAGCCTGTGAGGCCAATATCCAGGAACACCAGCTGCATGCCCTGAAGCAAGGCGGGAAAATGACCAGGAAAACCATTACTGTAAAAAAAAAACGGATAAACCGATGAGTAAACCGACAAAAACGATTACGGGTAGTAAACCGGTGAAACGGGTTGAACCATCCATGTGCAACGATGGAAAACCTTGTCAGTGACAGATGATGTAGTGGCGAAATAGCGCACCTTGGAGGACAAGGACTGACTAGGGCGACTTTACTTTGCCTTTAGGGCGACTTTAGGGAGGGCCTTTAGGAATACTTTCAGGACTTTAAGGACTCTAGGATGAGGAGTCTTCACAAGAACCACAGGACACATGGGGTACTGTTATCAACCCCAACCAGCTAGGCGTGTCCTGGGGCTACAACTGGGAGCTCAATCCACGGCAAGGGACTGAGACAAACAGCAGGATGTGTCAAGAAAATGGTTTTGTGATTGAATCAATCTCTTTACCAGAGGGTCACTTGCTGAGCACCCGTGAACATGATGACTGTACAAGATGCTGCAGTGCACAAGCTATATAGATGAGAATGAGAGAGAACCTTCGGTGAGCACCACTGATTCAAGAAGGCAATACAGGGGATTTGATATGTGGTGATGCGGGTCCCTTTAGCACATCAACTTTGAGCTTGAGGATGTCGTGGGGACGTGCCCAGATGGATTTCTTTCCCATGGCACCTCGTCTGATATCGAGTGATGGCGATCCGAGTGATGGGCGGTAGACATTTGTGTGGGAAAATCACCATCCTAATCATCATGGATCACCACCCGCACCCGGACAGTTTTTGCTCTAACCATCGTACCTTCTAATGGAATTTTGCAATGGAAAGTAAAAAAACATAAATAGCATGAGCTAAAATTGGACTCACAAACTGGGAATTTATCGCTGACATTCCAACCATCCAACCATCCTTGGTGCTCCGAAATCAAGGTGCACAACAACAACTTCCCCCGTAACGCTGGGGGTGGCCAGTTCCGAGCCTTGTTGGGCCACTTGGCGAAAGATACAAATCGGCTGATGGGGGACCATATATGATTCACTAATTATTCATTAATGATCAAATATAATACTATACTATGATATTATGTCTACGCACAGATATTTCAGAATAGAGTTATAGATAGACTAACTAGTAAACATTTGAACGGATATGCCTACAACTACTTCATCGATACGAAGTCAGATAAAACCCACAAGAGTGAATATGTTGAGAATGGAAAAGGCAATTTTGGCGACAGGACCACATGTTTAACTCTGCAGCTTCTAGAAGTCTGGGTCAAGATGGACCTTCAAACTGGATAAAATTGGATGGCCACTCTTTCCAGTGGCTCGTCGACCAGGATTCATACCCGGCACATTGGTGGTTTCAATATGTTTCAAACATCACGATATCTTTCCATATCTTTCTGGCTGTTGTCCCTTCCTCCGGTCGAGTCCGGTCGACTGGTCGACTTCAGAATCCCAGGCTTCAACGAACCAGACATCCACCACCAGGCGGCCATGAACCCATGGCACGCCGCCGCCATCTGGCCAGAAGTGGAACGCGTGGCACGAAACTACGGGGTGCAGACCTTGGTCAGTGTCCTGGCAAACGATTTTCTAGTTTCGAAGATTTGAATCAATTGAATCAATTATATATCTCATATATTCTCATATATCAATTATATTTTAATTATATATTACAAGGTATCTCCACTATGGGTGAAAACAAACCAACAAAAAATTCAACGAGTTGGTTTTTGGGGCCCACCTGAGATTTGGGATTTTGGCCAACGGGAGAAGTTGGAGAGAAACCACCCACCATGGAAGATCACCATGACCTCCGTGAGGCCCAGCGATGTGCGGAGACATTGGCAAGGGCACTTGGTGGATGGGAGAGCTCTTCGGCGATCCCGGAAGTTCCAAGTACCCACGTACCCAGTGCCAATATCAAACTCCAGATCTCAGTGAAATGGTGTAAACCAGTGGGTAAACCAATGGATACCAGTGGGTAAACCAATCAACATCCAACATCACAGTTGTAACATGAAACATGTTGAAGCTACACATTTCAGCTCTGTCCCGTGACCCGTGGATTCGGTGGAAAGCCGTTGTGCCCCAGGTTCTTGAAGGCTTGCAAGGGCTGCCGCGTCGACGCTGTGGCCATCCACAGCTACTGGTGCAGTCTTTCGGGACTGCAGAATCTGGTGGAGAACTACAAGAAGTTCCTGGTTCGCAAAATTCACAACGTCTGGTACTTGGAGTTTACACTGTCATAATCTGTCTATACTGTCATACGTTCCGTTCCAGACCGTTCCAGTTGAGAATGTGAAACACTTAAGAATTGTATGATCACATGTTAAGCATGTTACGCATGTTCCCAATGAAATGATACCTGAATTTTTGGCCCAATCCCTGGCTGCCAGGTTCGGCAAGAAGATCTGGCTCACCGAGTTCGCCTGTGCAGATCAGAGATACGACGTGTCGCCTTGGTTGAAGGGTGAGTTTCTTGCTGGTGACCCTGGTGAGGGCTCCAGTTTGGTAGATGTGTTGTGATCATAAGCATTTCAACTTATTTCAACTTCAATATCAAACATATCAAACTTCAATATCACCTGTATCACCTGTATCACCTGTGGCTGGAGATAATCTCTCCAAGATCCTCCAGCAAGTCCAGTCACGACTTCAGCCGTTGTAAACTGGGTCGTACGCCAGCTGTAATGTTGTGCAATCATGTGCAATTCCATTTTCCATATTTTCCAGCCTCTCTGCAGTTGCTACTTAAAACCACATGTAGCAGGCATCCCAATAACTCCATTGTAAACGGGGTAATCCCGGTTCACATATATTGCATATATGTAATCGGCTCCATGCTCGTTTTGGGGAACCTCGAAAATCAAGCTTTTGGAAAGTAACATCCTTTAAAGATGAGGCAGTGCATTTTTTTTTCTTCACAAAGGTGCTGTGACATTTCAAAGTGCTGGCTATCTGGTCAAAGAGCCTGGTATTTCATGGAGAAAGTGCTGGATGGCGCAAAGGGCAAAAATTCTTTAAAGGGAAAGTGCTGGATGGCCCTAAAAGCAGAGCTTCTATAGAGGAGAGGCTCCTCCATTTCAAAGTGTTGGTTTTCTGGGCAAAATGTTTGGATGTGTTTGGCATTCCATGGAGAAATTGCTGGATGGATCTAGGGGTACACCTTCTTTAATGTGGGGCTCCTCCTTCCCTGGACGTGATCAAGACCGTTGCTGTCTCCCTGCTAGAGTTTTGCAAGGTTCCTCTTTGCGCTCCTCAAGATCTCCGGTGTGCCCTTAGGACCATCACTTTCTCCATGGAAAGCCAAACTCTTTGACCAGAAAACCAGAACTTTGAAATGCGGTTTTGTGCAAAAAAAATGCCTAAATGAGTTCCCCGTAAAGAGCGTGTAACCATGTAATCATATGTACTTTATATGTGGATGTACATGTACATATGTGTGTATATGTGTGTGTGTATGTGTATGTATGCGTGTGTACGTGTACGTGTACGTGTGCGTGTGCGTGTACGTGTACGTGTTACATACAGACAGACAGACATACATTACATTACATTACATTACATTACATTACATTACATTACATTACATTACATTACATTACATTACACAACATACATCGATACATCGTTGAAAAACAACTGGGAGGGTATGCGATGGCCCCTTCCTGTCAGGTCCATGCAGGGGCAGATCAAGTTCATGAAGGAAGTGGTGCCATGGTTGGAGCAAGAGCCGGCCATTGAGAAGTATGCATGGCTCCTCGGATAACGCCTGACGCCGAGAGGGGAATTGTTTCAGGATGGCAGAAATATTGAAGATCTCTGGAGCGAAACCACTGAGTAGTTACTAGGTTTTCTTTCCAAAGATGTTTCACTGGTTGAAATTTGGTTGGTTTCCCAAAATGTCGTTGTTTTTTTGAGAGGTTCAGCTACTTCACCAACGAGTGGTCCTACGGCATCACCAATCCCAACCCGGATGCGGGTCTCGTGAACTGGAACGGTGCGTTGTCCGAACTGGGACGTGTCTATGTGAGCCTTGGGTCAGGGCGACGGCTCACAGGACCCTCGGATCAGTCTGATCAGTCACATTTGTTTCAACACAAGAATCATCACATTCAAAATCAAAAAAAATACATATATGTTAACATATTAAAACTTTGGAAAGATATTCAACCACCAATCCTGTAGATGTTGCATTTGGTTTGCGGTTCCAGTTTTCCTTTTCAGGGTTGTTTTGCTCGAAGGTGCTTCAAAAGTGCAATGCCGAGGAAACGAGACTGACAATGTCACCATGCCAGAGTTTGAGTCAAACAATACCGCGCCCATTTTCGCGTGAGGGAACTTGGAGGAAACCAATTCTTGAGGGTCTTTGGGTTCAAGAATCTCTGTCATGTCAAGTGTTGATCCCAGAGTTGCCCTGGAATGTGACACTCTCGGAGTCTCGTTGGTCCAAGATCCCAAGCAATACCCATTGCTGCGCCAAGCAATACCAAAATCGTGCACCAATTAACCCTTGCCCGGCCCATGGCCAGCGGGCGAGCTAATCCTGTTTTGACGCATTCAGTGCTTTGCCTGCTGCGATGAGGATGGAAGGTCACTGCGGTGACAAGTTCGCAAGTGACCAAATCCTCCCGTTTGTTTTGGTAACTGGACTTACCAGGAAACCTGCTACTCCATCGGCATCAAATCTATGCCAGATTTGTATTTGACACAGGAAATTCACATTCGCGCCAGCAGTTCGCCAAACCATGCTAGAACTAGCTAGCATGAACCGTGTGCGAGATTTTTCTGGGCCCAGAAGAAAAGTGCTTCCTGGACACGTCACTGCTTTGCAACATCCGATCCCAAGAGGTAATTCCAAATGTGGATTGTCAATGAAATGATTGCCCTCTGAAAATCCTGCGAATGGGAAGATCATGGAAGATCCATTCTTGAAAACTTGAAGTGTAAATTGCCTATATAGTAATAATATGTGTATATATATATATATATGTATATATATGTATATATATGTATATATATATATATGTATATATATATATATATGTGTGTATATATATATAGCAAAAGGATGTTCATCCAAATTTACATTTGCCTCCTGGGGATGATCCCAATCTTGCCAATCTCCTTCGCCCAGAATGGAAAGCCCGTCGCCTTAGCGATGATTAGATAAAGTTAAAGTATGTTGTGACTACGGATCAGCGCCATTTGTGGTTCCCAAATGGGTCCTTAGGTCACCAGGTCACCATTTTTCGTCATCTGATGCCAGGCGCAGAAAGATTTGGAGACCAAAGTTGGTTTGGAACAGAATCTTCGACCGTGATGGTTGACTGTTGACTTAAGGTAGTCACGGTAGTCCCAGCTAAAACATTTAGTAACAGGGCTCAACAGAGGTAGCTCACAAGTGACCATGGTTACAACATGTCACAACTGGCTGAATGGCAACTGGATGAGGGGTTTACTAAGCATTACTAAGGACTACTAAGCATAGTTGCATGGCATCACTTGCTCCAGGATCATCCTAGTTTACCATCTCAGACATCCCGAAGTTGAAAACTCTCCATCTATGAGGCCAAAGAGTGATGTCCTGCGATTCGAAATTCCAAACGAACGTCTTCCCCATATTGTGTCCCATTCATTCTGGGACAGATTAGCCTGAGAACTGCCCGAACATGTCCGAACCCATTAGGGCTCTGCCCGCCAAATGCTATCATCCCTCACCATCCTAGGAGCTTCACGGTGAAGCAGTTCCTTGGCGATGGACGATGAAGTCCTGGATTTCAGCGGTCCATTTGTGGAATCTGGGGGTTGTACCTGACCATACCTTACTATTTGCAATTAGGTAGATTTACCTATTCATAGCTCTGTCTTCGTGCACCTCCCACTTTCTTGGCAGACATTTTCTAACTGACTGGTGGGGATGTGCCTGCTTGTTGAACAGATCCGAGGCGAACGTTTCAACACTTTGCGATGGAGGCACGGCAGAGTCGTTGGGTCAGGTACATTTCAAGCATTCTTCCAAGCGTCAAATTGGTATGATGATCAGGATCAACAACGAGAGCAACCGCGAAAACACCTTTCAACATCTTTCAACTGTGTTCCAGACACTTTCTCTGACTGTCAGGCGGAGCAGATTGAGCGCACGACGAAGCAAGAGGTTCTCAATTCGGAGGCGCTTGTGCTGGTCGAGCTGGGCGGGAAAAATCTTGAAAAGTGTCGCGGCTGTCCAAAGTGCAGATCTTGAGTGGAATCACGTGCAACGGGAACCTGTCTTGATTTGGGCATGAAGGACATCCAAGCATGACAAGTGTGACCAAGTGTAGAAATAAGTGTGGCCTTCCTTGTCTTACAGAAATCACCGAAATTACCTCAAACCGGGCGTTCCCCGAAATGTTGCCAGGATCACAGCAAGAAGGCACATGAGGCGGAGCGACCGTGGTTATTCACGGTAGGTCATCCTGTTTTTTTCATTCGAAGTCTATTTATTGCGAAAAAATATCGCTACAATTAAAACTCGCAGACGTATATCACTATACAATAATTTCACTATATGACCAAAATGAGGTTCTCATATGTTCCAATGGGATATTTATGGGCTTTTAATGGGATATGATAGGTGCCGATAGCCACCATCCCCCGTTTGTGAAATTGGGTATATCCCTATTTGGGATAATGTAGAAAAGTCCCAAATGGGTTACCAGGATGGTTTCTTCTAGGGTTTGCCACATCATACATTATCCCTTATTTGTTCTTAGTGGATCTGAAATATGTATTGATGGTGATTTCGGGAAGCCATCCCAGGGGTGTTTCCCAGTTTTCTCCATGGTGAATCGGCAGTCCTTGCAGATATGCATCCCATATTTTCCCAGCGATCACAGATGCCATACTTCGAATACTCCTGATTTAACCATCCAGCCACATGGGCATGGCTCAAGATCGGAAGAATATCGGAAGAATATCGGAAGAATATCGGAAGAATATCGGGTCAAGGGCTCAATACTGGACCCCAAAGATACTCCTGCAAGCATTTAGTATGATCACCTGGTCAAATCTGGTTTTTCACACATGATTTGAGATCCAACCCCAATAGCACTTTGCAGGCTCTTCAGGTAGCCGAGGGGTTGCTGGGTCGCAGGGGATGGCAAGGAGTGCGGACAGGCTGCAGGAAACCAGGAAACCAACAAGGATTCAACAGGAAACCTGGATGCTATGGTGCTATGGTGACTGCCTGTTGACATTCACACACCATTCGTCGCGTAGTTCAGATCATTCACCTGTCAAATCCAGGTGAGAAGAGAATCAGATGAGAATCAGATGAGAAGCAGATGAGTCTGAGGTTCACCAGTTGAATCCGATCAGCTGAGGTTGCTTCAGGAGCAAAACCAGGAGTCCAAGCAACTGGAGGTGGGTAGAGCAGAATCGGCACAGTGGGCAGAATGGGCAGAGCAGCCAAGATTGGGTTTTGGGATGTTTTGGGTATGTTTGGAGTGCGTGTGGCTTTGTTGTACCATGCACTTGGGCATCTCCTGGCCCAAAGAACAAACCGTAACAAACCTATGAACATGCGTAACATGCGGTTGTTTTGATCAGCATCCGATCTACCAATCTACCCGGCCAGGTGCGATTGCGGGAAGAGGCATCGAAAGGCGACCACAAGGCCGCTATGGATGTGCCTCGGTGAGATCTTTTGGCAGAGGAACAATGGGAAAAACAACAGGAAAAGTGGAAGATGATTAATCTGATTATAAGATTTTTCTTGGATGTAAACCATGTGGTCAATGTATCTTGAGATTGTTATGTAGAAATAGGAAGATCTTTCATAGTAGTTTGGATGGTTGCTTGCTACGTGTCTACCCAGCTTTTGCCCCCTCAACAAGAGGGCAGCAAGTGCTTTGTAACAAGCTTCAAGGCAAACTTGGGACGTAAGCCAACAAGAATGGCCTGGTAATCTTGGAACTGGATCTAGCCCTGAATGCATAATGTTAATAATGATGCATGATTGAAATATATTGAAATTATAGAAATGACTTGCCATGGCTTTCCATGGCTTTCACTTCTGAGGCTGCAGCCATCGCAGCCGCCAGGGCTTTGTTGGAACTGGTGCCCTTCAAAGACCCCAGCCACGAGCTCGGAGTCAGTGGTGATCCCGTTGCATCCCGTCTCGTCAATTCACATCTCCCATCGGCTCCCATCGGCTCCCATCGGGTCCCATCGGGTCCCATCGGGTCCCATCTATCCATTAAATCTATTGAATTTATATGAATTTATATGAATTTATTGAAATCGAAGATAAGCAGATATCATATCGAGAGGTACCATATCCACAAGTTTGTACAGTCTATGTGTGGAATTTTCCGATCATTTTTGGGAGATACCCGCTCTAGCCACGATTATATAGCTCCGAATTCAAGCCATCATTGTAGATATGCCATCGCAGGCTGTTTTTCCTCGTGCTATGCCATCGCTGTGAGGCCAATCGGTGCCCAATCACACTGAAGCGCCGTCGGTCTTCACGGAAGCTGGCCTGAAATTGGGGAAATTCTGCAGATGGGACTGCACCAAGAAGACACCAAGAAACATCTAGGGTTTCACCGGTTTCACCTCATTTCATTAGCAACTGGGGATTGAAACCAATCGAAATTTTCGAAAACCACGGGATATAGCTGCTACATGCTGCTACCAAGGATGCTGATAGAGGGTATGGATCAAACTTGACAGAAATGGAACCCACAGACGATCTGGTCATTTTGAGTACAGTGGGTACAGTATTCAACCAACCAATTTTCAGGTACAACAGAGGCTGTGGAACAATATTGCTGACGATTTTGATTGGGTTCCTGTGGTTGGACATAGACAGTGCATGACAGTGCTATGAAACCAACATGTGAAAATCATGCAACCCAACGGTTTTTGGTATGCATGTTTATTACGATGTTCGCAATTATATTCACTAGCATTATGTTGTTACTGTTTGGTCACTGTCATTATTATGGTCATTATTGTTGTTATTACTGTATATTACTGTTATTACTGTTATTACTATTTTACTTCATTAAGCTTTTTTGATCTTATTGTAGTATCTATATTATTGTGAGAATGAGCAGTTCGGGTCAGGACGACAGGCGACGTTTGGGCGTCGTTCTGTAAGGAGGCCTATGTTGTGTGAAGGGGTCTTTGTGCAACACGGTCTCTGCATCAAAGACTCGTGGCGTTTTTTTTTGTGCAATTGGGAGGTTGTGTAAGAATGTGATTGTGCCACATGGTAAACAGGGGCCCCTTGTATTTTTCGTGCCCTCCCTCGCTCCCTCACTCCCTCCCTCTCTTTTTCTCTCCCGT